AGATAGACCTCCACCCGGGGCTTTCCCTTTAGCCATTGAATTTAATGCTTCCCAAGCCTCCTCAATTGTAACAGGTCGGTCTAAATCTAGTTTTCCTTGAGTTGACAGCCTAGCTGAAAAGTGAGACCAGTGATCTGAATCTTCCGAAAGATCGGTGGTAATGTCCTCGTCCGGGTGCCTCGTTGTGAGAACATCCTGATAATACATAGCTGCATATTCACACAGTTGGGACTGTTCGTTGACAGACGGCAGCTCATGATCAAATGGGTGCATGAGCTCGCACATTGAAAAAACTATTCTTCGGTAACAATTTTTGAAAGGACCCTCTGGACAGACGGTCATAAACAATAACACCTTTAACTTTTAATCGCTCCGCCCAGATGTCGGATTGCTCTTGCTGATAAGCGCCCCAATCTGCCATGCACTTTTCTCTGATACGGCTCCGAACTAGGTTAGAAATAGGATGAATGTTCATCCTATATTCTGCATACTCGATCTTCCGTACTAGGGACGCCTCCTGCTTTTTCATCCCTACGGCTAGTATTCATGAGAAAATACTCAGATGTAGAGAAAATTCGGGACCCGGCATCCCACCAAGCATCTTTGGTGGAGAAGGAGTCCAAATTCTGTTCCCAGCCTTCCCAAAGTCGACTCATCCAATCCCTGATGCCGGGTTCTTGTAGTATCTGAGTGTTGATTCTGAAATAGCCAGGACCTCTTTCCAGCTTATGGGAGTTAAAGGTGGCAATAACTGCTTTGTGATCAGAGAGGGTCTGAGTACCTACACTTAGGTTGACTGTGGCATGCGATGCAGCAGTTGACAGGAGAAAAAAATATAGTCTTCTGCAGGTACTCCCTTTTCCCTCACGAATGTTAGAGAACCAGGTATATACCCTGGCTTGCCAGGGTGTAGCAGACTGAAAGGTTCTATTAGGTCTAAGTAAGACATCACTTCCGTCAGAACTTTCAAGTCACTGCTGCCTCGAACCTTGTCAAAACAATCCAAGGAAGTATTCCAATCTCCGGAAATTACGAGGTTTACACAGTCAGGAATAAACAGCGGTAAGTCTGAGAAAAAAAGACTTCCGTTCACTGCAGTCAGTCGGAGCGTAAATGGAGGCGATTACCCACTCTTGGCCATTAAGCCATATTTTAACCCACACCCATCTTCCCCACAGATCAGCAAAAAAATCCAATATTTCCGCACCCAAATCCCGATGAATCAATAAAGCAACTCCTCCTTTCGAACCCCTCGCAGGCGCCCATATCTGGGGGCCATCCCACCACGCACCTAATTCTGTTATCTTAGCTTCAGACAGCTTACTCTCCTGGAAGCATACCACATCAATCTTCTTTTCGTGCATCCAGCTCTTCAAGCGACCCTTCTTATTACGACCCGACAAGTCTCCTAAACCTCAAATATTCCATGTGGCTATTCTAAGCCTGCCCATCCTGAAGACGAGGCAGCCACGGTCAGCCATGGCTCGGTCAAAGCTTTGCTTGAAGAACAGAGAGTCTAACTTCTTCTCTTTCCCTAGCTTTGAGTTCAATAAATGACAAATCTGGCTATATGCTGAAACCTCCGCCGAGTATCCAATAATGAATGCGTCAGTGCGGACAATCAGCTGACTCTATTCGTGTTTTAATGAAATTATGTACCCGTAAAAAATGGCCGGGAAATCCTGGCCTTACGTGTACCACCCTTGAGTTAGTTTTGTTGTTTCTGAAGCAAGTTCCTGGACTTATAGTTTAATTGGTTTCATACAGAAATTCTGCAGTTAAACTGCAGGCAAGCTTGACTCGGCGCAACTCCACCTTCCTGGCTTCCAAGAACCAGGACAGCGGGATCGACCGCATTCCACTTTGCTCCAATTGCTCGAGTTGGCCAGGGAGAAACCAGAAATCAAACAGAGGACCAAAAAAATTAACCCGTTTGCCATCGACATCCACAAGAAACCTCGGCATCACAATCTCCGTAATAATACGTTTGCCGTCGACAGCCACAAGAAACCTCGGCATCACAACCTCCGTAATAATACGGAAGGAAAATCAGTTCGGAAATAAGTTACGAGCCAAACTTTCAAAGGCAATTGGCATAGGAGATTCTGGGGAGATATATTGTTAAACAGCACAGGAATACCGTCCATCCCTAGCCAAGAGACTATCCAGAAGGAATTCCTCACAGCTACACACATTAGGGGAAGAAGTGTCTTCTTCTCCATGACTGATTGGCCTCTCGACAAGGCAGTCAATCTGGTGGAGTGTGAGGTCTTACGCTTACCTGCTGCACCCGAGGGTGTTAGCGACCCACCTGTACGGGTAGAGGCAGCGTCCGAGTTCCCTGATGATTCAGCCTGCAGCTCGTCCACTTGGATATCAACACAAACTTGAGTCTGTATTTCAACAGTTCAGGGGTGTGTAGTCACTGTGTACCAATTGAGCTAGGCCCGTTGTTTTTTTTCCCTTTTCCTTTCTTTCTTTTCTTTTCTTTTCTTTCTTTTTTTTTTCTTTTTTTTTTCCTTTTTTTTTCTCTTTTTTAAGTGGGGCCGACGGTCTTTAGAGATCATAATTGAACTAACCGCGGCTTATTCTCTTCGTCTGAAGGTATCTGGATTCGAACTTGAGTCTGTATTTCAACAGTTCAGGGGTGTGTAGCAATTGAGCTAGACCCGTTGTTTTTTTTTTCTCTTTTCTTTCTTTTCTCTCCTTTTTCTTTTCTTTTTCTTAATGTGGCCCGATGGACCACAGGTCAGATATTAAACTGATCAGAACAGATACAGTGCACTTTATCTTAGCCAAAAGGCCCGTTGGTTTTATTTTCTTCTCCACCCCCTTTAATCCTCCTCCTCTTTTTCTCTTTTCAAAAAAAAAGGGCAACGGCCTTGAGATATCATCATTCAAACTGACCGGCCCTACCTTCTTCCCCCCAATACAACGTACGGTCATTATAGCTGTTTATAGAGTGAAAGATACCCCACATACGGGGGGGAAAAAGGTAAGTAATTCCAATTTGCAATTTTTTTTACTCAACTGTTTCATCAGCTTCGAGTTGAGTTCGAACTCGGTCTGTATTACAACAGTTCAGATCGGGATGGGTTTAACAACTGAGCTACATAGGCCAGCTGATGCATCCCTTTTCTTTTGTTCTTTTTTTTTGTGTGTGTGTGTTTTTTGTAGTTAACCTCTTATTTAGAGGGCGAAGGCCTTGTGAGATATAATGACTATAAAAAAGGCCTGAAAGGCCGTCCTGTCCAGATTTGACAGGTAATTGAATTGGTTGGGCTTAAAGAATTAGTCTTTAAAAAAAAAAAAAAAAAAAAGAATATAATGACTGAACCGACCGGCCCCAGGTAATTCAGTCTCAGAAGAATTTTCGTCCGTTAATCTGGTTGAATCTTCTGGATTCGAACTCAGGTCTTCTGTATTTCAACAGCAGTTCACGGGTTTACGGTATGGGGCTCCGTCACCGACCTTGTCTGACCCTTTCCCCTCTCCTCTCTGTCAACAGGTAAGGTAAAAACAAAGGGCGCAACTTTACTCATTTTACTTTTTCATTTTAAGGTAAAAACAAAGGGCGCAGTTTTACTCATTTTACTTTTTCATTTCATCCACTTTCATTAAGCATTATATCATCATTCTAATATTAGTTTAATAGTCATTTCATTTAATTCATATTATTTAATAGGCTACCAGAGTGGCCCGGAACCGCTTGCCCGGCCGGGGCAAAAAAATAAATAAATAAATAAATAATAATAATAATAATAATAATAAAATAATAATAATAAAATAATAATAATAATATACATCTACATATTTTTTGGGGGGGACAGAATTTCGATGTGACCCTGAGGCAAATGTTGTTCAGTTTATTTCAACATAGTTTTGTTTCGATGTTTTTTTGTTTGTTTGTTTGTTTTTTCTTTTGCTGGGACCCTCCCCTGGTAAGGGCACGGCCGGGCCGCCCCGGAAAACAGGGTGACCCCGGCGGCCGGGCTGGTAGCCTATTATTATTATTAACTTATTATGTTTTTTTTTTAATTCAAGAAATCAGGGGTGTAATTCATGCCTCTTACAATCCAGCAAATCCTGGCAGAGAACGTATTAGCTCCTAGCATACTCAAGCTCGATTTCATTTTTTTTTACGTTCGAATTTGACGAATTTCTTTTTTTTTTTGGGTCAAATTTTCGCTCAATTGCTCTCCCCATTCTAGCCTTACGGAGGGTGGGGAAGAGACTTTGATAAGGCTGTCGTTATTTTCTTCCTTTTTTTTTTTTTTTTGCTCTATTATTATTATTTTCCACTGGTAGCTTTCTCTTTTTCTTTTTTTCTTTTTTTTTAGCCTCAGTTGCCAATTTAATAATTCCACGAAATTGTCCGGATCCCGTCCAGACTACCAGCACCTTCCCCCAAAGAAAGTCGGAGAGAGAGGAACGGAAGCAAAGAACAGAACCAGCCTGCCGCCGCTCATCGAGAAACCAAAGAGAGAAAGCAAGAGAGGGAGAGAGAGAGAGAGAGGGAGACAGAGAGAGAGGGAGAGAGCAAGAGAGCGAGAGAGAGAGAGAGAGGGAGAGGGAGAGAGGGATTGATGGCGAGAGGGAGAGACGTAGAGCAAGAGCGAAACAGAGGGGGAGAGAGAGAGAAAAGGAGAGGAAGAGGAAGAAGGTGGGGGAGAGGGGGAGAGGTGGAGACCAAGCAGAAGGGAGAAGGAAAAAGGCGTCGTTCGCGGTTTGAAAGGTCGTTCTCGGCAAGCGTGGGAGCTGACGAACGAGAGGGGGGGGGAGAGGAGAGGGAGGAAGAAAGGAGTGGAAGGGAGGAGGGAGGAGGGAGGAAGAAAGAGTGGAAGGGAGGAGGGCTGAAGACAGGAGTGGAAGGGAAAGGGAGGAAGAAAGGAGTGGAAGGGAGGAGGGAGGAAGAAAGGAGTGGAAGGGAGGAGGGAGGAGGGAGGAAGAAAGGAGTGGAAGGGAGGAGGGAGGAGGGAGGAAGTGAGTAAGGAACTCACCGTCCCGTTGGATCCTCTCCTTGTATGAGAGGACGCACGGAGTCCCCGGCTCGCAACTGGTGCAGTTGGTGGTGATGTTGAGTGCAGTGCCTGGGCCCTCGACACGTGGCACCGCCACAGAATCGTTCGCGCAAAGCTCGAGGTCCAATCTCGGTCCACTAATGAGCCTGACCTCCACATCGAACGGAGGCAGAGCCTCGTGGGCCTCGTACGAGAAAGTTGCTCTACAAAGCCTCAGCCTCTGCGTTCCTGCAGTCGGGATCCCGGTCCCATTCCCTGTCCAATTGGGGTCCACCGAGCCAGGCGTCGCTGGAGGAGCAGATCGATGACCATCCAGAGCGGCCGAACCTGAGGAGGCGGAGGAGGAATTAAGTACCACGGTGACATCTCTCACATCTAGCTGTCGGGATACGAACGCGGTGTCCTTGAACACCACGTCGATGTTGCACCCTGGATCGCTAAACGACAAATACACCCCTCCTTTTGTCGATTTGAACAGGGAATTCGACACCCTAACCTCCCGATCCCGACCGGTGTATCCGGGCATTATGTTCATTGCCAACGCCGGCGCGTCGTTCTGGTAGCTTATGAACTTGGAATTGGAAATACAAGTGACGTCGCCGACGTTGCTGAACACGATGCCGCCCACATTGTTCAGAAAGGTGCAGTTATCTACCCGCAGAGATCGAGGGTTCGGTACCTGCCTGGGCAGATAAGTTAATTGGAATTTGGTGCAGTTTTCAAACACACAGTTGCGCATCGTCAGATTGGAATTGTGGAAGATCACCGAGATGTTCATGAACTTGAGGTCGTACACCTGAAGAGAGCCATAGGTGTGATTCGAGAAGATGACCCTCTGTCCCCAAATGATACAGGGTCTGGCAGAACACTGACCTTGTAGAGTAACATTGGCAGTGGATACGACCATAGGTAGGTCTTTCGTTAACACCACATCCGCTTCGAATCTCAACACGATCGCAGGGTATAGATGAGCTTCTCTCAAAGCTTCTTGAAACAACGACTCATCAGTAACCGATTTCTCCATCACATCGCCACTACCTCGTAGCTCTCTTCCTTCTACCTCCTCCTCCTCCTCCTCCTCCTCCTCCTCTATTGCTGCTAAGGATTCTTCTTTTCCTCGACTTCTACCTCCTCCTCCTCCTCCTCCTCCTCCTCCTCCATTTCCCAAAGCTTGCTGAACCGTACGACTCATCGCCACCGATCTCGCGATTGCAGCAGTACTTCTTCCAAGCTCTCTTCTTTCACCTCTTCCTCCTCCTCCTCTTCCTCCTTCTCCTCTTCCTTCTCCTCCTCCTCCTCTTCCTACTAGTACCACCTGGTCCTTGTCCCTCACAGATCTTTCAATCACCAAGCTTTTACCCTCAAGCTCTCTTCTACCTCCTCCTCCTCTTCCTCCCCCTCCTCCTCCTCCTCCTCCTTGCCCTCTGTGTCCTGCTTCTCTCTCGATCTCGCCCAGACCCTCTTCATCGCCATAACCAGCATCACTCCCGACTCGTCTTCCTCCATCCTCTTCCTTCCATCGCCGCAGGTCTTCTCGATCTCCATCCTTACCATCACCATAGGGCTGATTACTATGCCCCTTCTCGACCTGAAATCGGGATCGGAAGTCATCAACGTTCCCTACTCTCCTCTCTTCCGCTCCCTTCTCCCCCTCCTCCTCCCTCCTCTCTTCTCCTCCCTCCTCTTCATTCTCCTCCATAATTACCACCGCTTCTCGGCTTCTTCTAATGAGTGATGACGTGGCGGAATCAGCGTCCACTTGTTCCCGATGTCCAGATACTTCTGCCCCCCTCTTCCCACACTCACTGTCCCCGCCGCACAGACCGGTCGCCATCCTCTCCGCAAGCGGTCTTCTCCTCGGCCGTCCCAACCACGACGCGTCCCGATCAAGATCAAAGCTCGATCGGGGCTTCGTCGTATCCGGAAGCCTCCACACAGAGCCGTCGCATTCTCCAACCATGAACGTTGATGTCATCATTAACAGCAGCAGCGTCGCTGACGGCATCATCCATAACCCTCCTTCCCCCCTAGCCTTCGCCTGCCCGCACGTCCAACCCATGACTTGCACCTTTTCTTCCTACTCCGCCGCAAACACCCTCTCTCTCTCTCTCTCTCTCTCTCTCTCTCTCTCTCTCTCTCTCTCTCTCTCTCTCCGCGTTCACAGACTTGCGCTTTGGGGAAGACGGGAGTGTAATCAAACTCCAAGACAGCCAGTAGGTGGAAGACAATCGCGCAGAGACGCCCCGAAGATTCAAAAGGCGATTTTTGTGAGTCCTTGGGAAATACGTAATACCGGTCGGTCGGTCGGTCGGTCGGTCGGTCGGTCGCAGCAGAGGCCGCACAGCGACCAACTGTGAAATAAATTGTGTTCCCTCTCCCAATATTTTCTCACCACGGCTAGCAGAAGAAACGGGCGACCTTCGCAAGAAAAAAAAAAAAAAAAAAAAAAAAAACGAAAACAGCAATCACATAGAATAGAAGTACTGCCTGCCAAGTGTCACCCTCCTCTGCGTGCCTTGCTGTGTCATCCGCCGAACGACTCCCACCGTGCCGCGGCCCAGTGCGTCGCACACACAATGAATCGAACGGCCGCACACTGTGTCCCACAATTGAATCAACGGGTCGTACACTTGAATCATCGACCTCCCACTCGAATCGCGGTCGCACAAACGATTCACTCTGCCGCACAATGTGTGGCACAATCGAATCGACCGGTCGCACAATTCAATCGATCGTTCGCTTAGTTACATCGATCCGTCGCACAATGCGTCGCACACTTGAATCGTTACCGGTAGTTTGCAGACTTGAACCGATCGGTCGCACAGTCGAACCGATGGGTCGTACAGCCGCATCGCTCTGTCGCGCAGTCCTATCGATCGCTCGCACAATTGAATCAATCGCCCGCACGATGTGTCATGCAATCGAATCGATCGGTCGTACAAGTGAATCGATCGGTCGTTACAAGTGAATCGAACGGTCGTACAAATGAATCGATCGGTCGTACAAGTGAATCGAACG